ATGAGCAATTGTTTCCGTGTAAGACTAGGCGTAGATTTATACAGTACACGCCAGCACAGACCAGATAAGATAGCAGAGCTATGCGAATAAACGGACGTTCAAAAAGGAATTTACGGTAAGAGATCGCTTCGCGGATCTGCAAAATTATTTATTAATTTTGAAGGCTGTGGAACTACGTGACAAGGGCTTAAGTCTAGCGCCATAGCTAAATTTGGTGAAATGATAAGCAGCTAAGAAAGAAAATCACACCGAGTCGTTTTAAGAATACGTTTACGACATGTTGAACATTGATGCTCAAATAAACCTGGATACTCCTTCCGTAATTAGTTACATCATTCAGGGCATACGAGATGACGAAATTAATAAATCGATGCTGCATAATGCCGTGAATATTCGAGAATTGAGAATCAAACCGCGCCAGTATTAAGAAATGAAGATGCAAGGATGAAGAAATAAAGACGCAAGACAAAGGACGAAGCAAGTAGATCAACATAAGAAGAAAACGTTGTTAATACCGTCGGAAGTAAAAAGGTGTCTTAGTTATGCGGGTGATAGCGACGTAAGTTCTGCGTGCCTCTCGAAGAAGAAAAGGTGTAAAGTGTTTTAGCTGTAACAAATTTGGACATACAGTTACTCCCACTCGTACTCGTACACTATATGGCGATTCACTGTAAATGAAAAAATTCTTGTTTCTTATGAACTCTTTTCATTTATTTTTACCAAATATTGTTTATTACACTATGTTGCTTCTGGTTACAAAGCAGTTCTGTTTTTTATTTACAAAAAGCAAGCAAAAAAATTAAATAATGTTACTAGTCGTAATGTCACTACACTTACTCGTATTCATACATTACAAAATTAACATATTTCTCTTGTAAAATATAGTAGATTAAATCAGTTTTCAGTAATGTCATTACTGACATGATTCCATTCTAGTAGCAATTTTGCTTTAGGTTAATATACATTAACTATTTGATATTTAAGAAATCTCATTTTTAATTCTGACCATAAATTTTCAATGGGGTTTATGTCTGGACTCTGTGGGGGTGTTTCCATGACTTGGGGACAGTTATATACGAGCCACTGCCTCGTTATGTAGGCTTTGTGTTTAGGATCGTCATTCTAATAAAAGATAAAATTATGTCCAAGTTCCAAACGGTTTGCGGAGGTATGTAAATTTTCTTTTAAAATGTTGATATAATTTTATCCATATTTCCACCAATTATTGCTAAATTTCGCACTCCATTTGCAGCAAAGCAGCCCCATACCTTAACATGCCCGTCGCCCTATTTAGCTGTAGGCTGCAGATTAATTTTATCTATGCTTTTATTTGGCTTATACCAAATAATTTGCCTGTCATCCGATTAGAAAACATCAAACTTACTTTCATCGGTAAAAATCACCCGTTTCCAGTTCTCATATGTCCACTTGTCGTACTTATTTGCAAATTGCAAACGTTTTTAGCGATTCGCTTCGTTTATATAGGGCCTTTTTCTAGCAACCCTTCCGTTGTAACCATACTTCCTTATGACGTAACGCACAGTTTCGTTGCTAACTTTTCTCTACATTTCAATTTTAACCTTACAAGCAATTTTAGGGACACTAATCTCTGGATTTATCCTTACTTCTTTTAAAATTCGTCTCTTTTCACAGTCAGTTAAATAACTTTCTGTTGAGGTTTCGTACTTTATTTTCAATTCTGCTTTCTGCATTGAAAGGCTTTATAATATTATATATTGTATAGTAGACCTGCTTCTATTCACAATTTCACTTATTTCACGTAGACTTTTCCCATCTTTATGATGATTAACCCTTCGCGAACAAGCGCCACATATATGCGTTCTGCGGAAGTCACCAGTTTGGCCGAGGAACGCATATATGCTTTCGACGAAAACAACTATTAGGGCCGAGGGACGCATAAATGTGTCCTACATAAACGCATCGCTACGACTGAGAAACACAAATATGCGCTCGCTGTTGCGGTTTTAGAACCATCACGTCTCAAGTTAAGTGGAGGACTGTTTTATGTCCCTATTGCCAGCGTGGCTGTGAAAGAAAATCGCGTTTAAACAGAAATGAGCGCTGGCAGTTTTGAATGACTATCGAGGCAGCGGTTCGGCCCCACGGTACGGTTTACTTAAAACCGCTTTGTCCGTAAAGGGTTAATAATCAATTTTCGTAACTTAATAGAGGTTTGACTAATAGAGGTTTTTGTTCCTTTCCTGCCCATTTTGCATAGTAATTAACCAATTGCTTCTATCTAGTCAAAACAGTAACGATAGCCTTTCTTTTGTTTCTGTTTAATATCCGGCGAATTTCCGATATAGGAAAGAAGTCCCTAGGATACGTATTATACTGGAAAATATTACTGTACGGATACGAGTGAGAGGTCGCTTTTACGACTAGCAACATTTTCTAATCTTTTTGTTACGTTTTTATAAATAAAAAGCACAACTGTTTTATAAACAGAAGTAACACAGTGTAATAAACAACATTTGGAAAAAAAGTAAATAAAAAGAGTTCATATGAAACAAGAGTTTTTTATTTATAATGAATCGCCATATAGTGTACGAATACGAGTGACAGGGATACGTGTCGCGGATCATGGTTTTAGAAAGATCGGAAAAACATCGAGAACGTTCCGCGACGCCAGGATAGAAAAAGGACGATTGACTAGAGACCTGCCAAAGCGCCAATGTACGTTTCGCGGACGTCGTTTCGGAAGGTCCGGAACCATTGAGAGCGTTCGGCGACGCGTGCCCCCCTGCGAAGACAAAAGACGATGAGCCCCTCAGATATAAAGAATGAGCTCCTGATCGTCAGAGTGGTCAATCCTTTTGAAGCTGCAAATTGCGCTAGTGATATAAGCAAAGAAGGTGCTATCGAAAGTTGCAATGTGGCTTGAGTTATTGGCAAGAAGCATACAAAAAATGTAATAATAGAGGGAATTGAATTACTTGCATTGTTCGATTCAGGAAGCGATATTAGCTTGACATCGCGGAGACAAACATGTTGATATCGGGGTGTGTAACACAGAGAAACGTAGGATCGAATTTCGAGGGATGAGGGCAAAAGCTACCACACTTTGTGACGATCAAGTTCTCAAGCGGTTTCAGATACCCTACTACAATACGATGTTATTCTCGAATCTGATTTCTTGAATTATGTTGTTACGTCCGCTTAAGAAAAGGAAATGTTCGAGTAATTAAGTCGGAACTTGATCGTGAGACACGCGATAACGAAGTTGCTGAAATATTTAACATACATAAATATAGAATGCCACATGACCGAAGAGAATTAACCCCTTAGTTTACGATGTCGTGAGTGGCACGTTACGACAATCGAGCCAAACGTAAACAGCTCGTGTGAAAAACGAGATAGGGCAATGGAGCCAAACCTAAACATCACGTCAGAAAGACGAGAAACGGTAATCAGATCAAATGTAAACATCACGCATGAGAAACATAGTACGTCCTTCGGACTATACGCAACGAACAGTTAGCAATTTCCTTGGCCGTATTCGGACGTGCCGATATATTGTCTTAAAAAATATTAGAAAATATGCCCTTAAAAATGTGTTTAAAAACAATGTAAGCGTTGGTGAGGACATCGAAGATTCTGCTAACACTGCAAGCAGTAATTTAATAGAGATCTTAAATATTGATACTGACAGCAGTGATATTCTACTTTCTGTACGAAAATATTGAAAGCGACTGGTTTTTGAAGATAAAACCGATGACGAAGACTGTTAAAAATAAGATACCTCTTAATGTATATATCACAATCAATCTATCTTTTAGGAGAAATAGATATATCTTTAAACTATGCGCCGAAGTGGTTCCGGCAATGCGTGAAGTGTTTATTTCACGCGTTACATAAGAATTAGGAGACCAGAACAGTCAGAATACTTAAGATATACCGTCCTTAGGATAGAATAAAAATAATTATAAAATAAAGATAGTTATTTCTTTTTAGCCACAATTCCAATAATATTATTTCATTTGCATTATATCTATTGCTTTCTGCGATTTTATATTTTAAAATACACGAAATATCGTATTTAGCGAGTAAAATCCTAAGTAAACCTTTTGCTTTGTTTATTGCTTTATTATAATTGATTGTCTTAACTAGCGAAATGATTGTTGATTCGAAATAGCCTGTCAAATATGCGTAAACGAATTTCGTTGGATGATATGTTCAGGATGTATGAAAATTAATGGTTATAACATTACAGCATAGTTCCATTCCTTCGGATCGGTGACGATTTGTCAAAAAGAAATATAGTCGCAAAATTGTTTTTGAGCACGATTTACAAGGTAAAATTTACTTGTCGCGTAATGACAATTTCAGATAAGATATCTGAAAGGAATCATAGGTGGAAATAAATCGTTCTCCCGGAAAATTGATAAATATCTTTTGTTTTATTATACGAAGAATATGACACATCTTATGACTATTCGATCAATATTATTCCGACGTCAAGAGGTTTACTCAATTCATAACGAATAGGATGCATGCAACGAGCGAAACTTTAATGGTATATCAAGTTGGATGCAGGCACGATACATGTGACGACTGAACCGACTGACACCGGAAAATATTGACCGAACGATTATCCAATTTGTTTCTGAACAATAAGGTCAAAAAATATATGGTGTGGTTACGTTTTTGAGAGAATGTTTCATTTACAGTCTATAGTTACTTTAGACATTTCTCTCCCATAGTGAATAAAATAAGATGCAATTAAAAAAAAAAAAAAATATGGTTGCCTTCGAAAATTATGTCCAAGGACAATTTTGCAACTATTTTTCTTGATAGATCTTTATCGATCAGATGGTATATAATCACACTGTAATGGTCGCGACATTTAATTTTCATGACATTTCTATATGTGTATTTAAAGTTACAAAAATAAATAGGAATGATCTGAATTTAACTAAATGATAGAAATATCAATGTGTTGTTTCACTGGTAACATATTATGCTCATTTTCTGTGCAGAAGACAGTGCTACAAAGTATTAGGGCGGAAAATCCAAACTTCACCGGCGATGCCTACACTAGCTTAGCAATAATCTATGCTGCCTTGGCCACTTGTAATTGGTTGGCACCATCTTACATCTCGATGACAGGATCCAGGGTCGCAATATTTACCGGCGCTTGCTGCAACGCCCTTTTCATAGGATCTTTCCTCTGGCCGCAAACCGTGTTACTCTATACCGCATCGTGTATTCTAGGTCTTGGAGCTGCTTTAATATGGACTGGGCACGGGCAATATTTAACCAAGTGTAGTAACTCAGAAACGATGTCTAGAAATGCCGGAATATTTTGGGCGATTTTTCAATGTTCGATGTTTGCTGGTAACCTTTACGTATACATTATGTTCACCGATTCTGACATAAAGGCACCGACGAGAAAACGCGTCTTCAGTGTGCTCACTGGAATAGTGATCGTCGGTACGTGTGTGCTAGGTACTTTGAGGAAGACATCGGATAATCTAGTTTTGGACGAAGCTGAAGGAGTTTCGAGTGCGGACAGAGAACTCCGAATACTGGAACCTGCGAGAGAGAAGCCACTATTAGCTGCCTGGTATGCTTTAACCGAGGCATTTGCACTTTTTATTACGCCAAGAATGCTTTTGTTATCTTTGACATTTGTTTACACTGGCCTGGTGTTAACATTTTATTCGGGTGTGTACTCGGCGAGTATTGGATTTACGTGTGAGATGGGACCCATGCGTAAAAGTTTAGTCGGTCTTTCTGGGATTTTCATTGGAATCGGAGAAGTAATTGGTGGAGCCCTTTTTGGCATTTTTGCTTCGAAGGTATCACGTATTTTCGGCGTGTGGTCTGTGATGATTATTGGATTTTGTGTACATATATTTGCTTTCGTTACTATCTTTCTAAATCTACCAAACGATTCGCCGTTTGAAGATACCGATAGTATAGGATACATTAAACCCACCCCGACTTTAGCAATGGCTGGTAGTTTTGCTCTAGGTTTCGGCGACGCATGTTCCAACACTCAAATCTATTCGTTGTTAGGATTACTTTATATACGAAAAAGTGCTCCAGCTTTTGCACTGTTTAAGTTTTGCCAATCAGTTGCAGCCGCAGTAAGTTTTGCTTACAGCAGTGCCTTATATCTTTATATACAGCTCCTTATCTTAACAATAGCAGCAATTATTGGTACTACTTCCTTTTGTTTTGTCGAATATGTTACAAGAACAGAAAGACAAAATATACAGTCGGAAGCTAATTTGACAATTGATTAAATTGAGGGAAAAAGGGAAGAAGAAAATTCAGGATTAAACGATGTTTGAGCAGCACAAGAAAGTAAATAAAAAGTTATTTTATTCGGTCATAGAAATAGTGATACAAAATAGTATATCATCTTGTAAGAACAGATTAATATAATTTTGTGAGTGAGAGAGTATGATTGGGAGAGTGCATGTGTTGTGCGAGACAGGACAATGCCTAAGAAAGCGGCGATCGAAGAGAGACGTTAAATCGACAAGTTCTAACCGATATACGTCCATCTCGAAGAAGTTCCAGTGCATGTGTTTTTCTCTTTTTTTTTTTTCTTTTTTTAATCCAAATATGTTAGACTTCAGTGTTTACTCAACAACAGGCTTAACGTATTACTAACTCCCTCTATCTGATCCTACAATGATATAGGAAATAAACTCTTTGTATGATTGCCAATATTGCTAAGAAAAATCGTAATCTTTTGTTACGTAAAAGAAATTAAGTAATATTTTTAATTGTTCAGTTCAAATGAAAAACTAAGTATACAAATATATTACAATATATTTATAATTATTACAATGTATTACAACAAATATATTTGTTTCAAGTTTCATTGCCTTTAGCATATGTTACTTCCACCTCCTGAAACAGAAATAATATTCCAGTTATATATGATGCGTTTGTTTTATTAATATATAGCTTACCCATAGCTTTGCACCATTTCCATCCCGTCTTATTATTTTTTATGAAACATTTAATCACTAGGTTTCTTGAATATTGTAGAATTCTTGCATTCTGTTTATAATGCCGTGTAATTAAACGATCTCTTACAGCCGGACAATATTTCATACTGTGGCCTCTTAAATTTTTGACTGTATTGCGCCATTAATATTTTTTTACAAACATTTTTCTATTTTTCGATACACCGTACTTTTTTCTTGTCAGGCGATAATTTAATCTCTTACAGTAATCAGAAACCATTAAATGACCAACTTGATATATAATTTTTATACCCGTCATTTCGCTAATTGTTCTGCCTTCTTCACTTTTCTTGCTAAGGTAACCAAGTATCCACTTCAGTATAACTTTAGTATAACTCAAAAACGTACTAACCTTTTCGTTAGGTATGGTTTGCGTATACAAAAACGTTTTTAATTTGTTATTTTGTTAATTTGAGCTTGTTACTAAATATCCGTTGTACTCTAAGGATATATAGTATATAGAATGTTGCATTCTAGACGAAATCTGACCGGTCGTAAATCAGTCTCGCTATCTCGGAATGTTGCCCGTTAAATTAATATTGGGCAACTGTTCTGTATAATATGTCCCGTCGAATTACTTTCGCAAAATAATCTGGTCTGCGTGGATTGTCTTGTAACAGTTCGCGATACACGAGCAAGAAGATCAATAGACTCTTCGATCATTAGAGAAATGCTGTCGTTACGATCGGTTCTCTCGAATATTAGAGAACGATCGAATGATGATGTTGACAAGTATTGTGCTCGATATCAAGGCTCTCCCGGTGGGCGACCACGCCGTACCGTGAGCACATGTTCCACACTGGCTTCGCGAAGGAAGTTTATACTTACTTTCTAATTCCACCGCTGCGAAAGAACGCGTGTGCAGATGTTGGACACGCAGGCTTGGAAACTCCTGCCCTCTGTGTTAAGGATCGTTGGATTAGTTGGACCTACGCTTTCAGGGGAGCGGAGCCTCGTTTCCAGCGGAGGATGGTGAGCAGGCACGAGGGGACGGAGATGCCAGCTTTTCGTTTCCAGGCTCTTCTCTCAGGCGTCGTTACTTTTCGGCTTTGTCCTCAATTGCTCCTCTTGCTCTGTAGAGCGTGGCCCATATTTGTTCCAGGAGGTTGATAGGCATTTCGCTTGCTTTCACTTGTAGAGCCTTTGTGGTGACCGTCCGATTGCCCTTCGTTACTTGAAGGAGAGCCATTCTCTATGATCTCGCGCGGATTGCCTTGATCTTCTTATTCAACAAATCGCTCCAGACGGCCGCAGCGTATGTGGTTATCGGGATATAAAGCCCCTTGTACAGCGTACTAAGAGCTTTATGGCCGAGTTCCTAGTTCGCTTTGGCCATTTACGCGAGGCTGTTGAATACTATTCTGCACTTGTGCGCTGTTTCCTGCACGTGCTTGTCGATCCTCGGGCCTCGTTCAGGATGAACGCCCAAATATTTAATCGACGGCCGTATCCTGATACTTCTTTCGTTGATGCGTATTCTTGATGAGCGATCAACGTCGAGTTTTCCTTCTATCTACAACGTCTCCGTCTTCTCGGTCGACAGTGATAGCATTTGGTGACTGCATCATGTTCAAATCACTGTGACGTCTTCTTGTCCCTTCCCTCGTAGTTCTTTCCTTGAGTTTTCACCGACTAGGATAATTATGACATCCGCGTATTCAAGTGCTTTGAAACTCATATCTTCGGACTCGAGTTTTGATCAATTGCTATTCATAGCCGGGAAAAAATTCCAATTTATAATCGTACGTACATATGTTTCTTACAGATAGACGTGAAACGTCCATATTTACGAAAAAATATTTACCATATTTACAACGAAAAATGAACTGCGGTATCATTAACTTCAAGTTACAAAATTGGTAAAAGAAAGATAGAAAAGAAAGTAATGAAAATTGAAGACAAAAGAAAGATTTATAAGTCGAATTATGATTGCGACACCAACCTGGGTACGTTGGGCGACCGGGTGAGGCAGCTCTTCGACAGCTGTCTCAGGACCGGTCGCTTCCTAGCGTGCTTATCCCTAAGCAGGGGAGGCCTCGGGACTCCGAAGGTATACCGGCTGATCTGCCTGCTCGACGAGGCGGGCAAGCTATTCGAGCGCGTTTTAACTGCCCGCCTCAGAGAGCATCTGGTGGATGTAAGTCCCGATCTGAGCGACAGTCAGTTCGGATTCCGACAGGGTCGGCCGACGATCAATGCGATTAAGCACGTTCGAACCCTGTCGGAGGCTGTCGTTCACCGGGGCGGGGTGCTGTTGGCTGTGAGCGTGGACATCGTGAACGCCTTCAACTCCCTGCTCCGAGCCGCCATCCGGGATGACCTTGTTTACCACAGGATACCCTCGTACATGGCGGCGGTGATCGGCGAATACTTGGCGTAGCGCACGATCGAGTATCCCGAACGATACTCGACGTCCGGTCTTAGGGCCTACCCTGTGGGACCTCGCGTACGACGCCGTCTTGCGGATATCCCTTCCCACCGGCCTCAGCCTAACGTCTTACGCGGACGACACGCTGGTGATGGCCGCCGGGAGGGGATGGGACAGGACCGCCGGGCTCGCGGAGCTCGGCGTTGCTTGTATCGCGCGCGGTATCCGTCGCCCCCGAGAAGACTGAGGCCATTTGGTGCTGCCATCGGTTCCGGGCAGCGCCGCTCCGGTTGCGGATACAAGTAGGGGATGCCGTTGTCGAGGTCCGGGACCGGATGAAATATCTCGGTCTCACCCTCGACATTCACTGGCGATTCGGCGGGCACTTCGAGGCGCCGGCTCTACGCCTGGAAGGGGCCGCGGCGGCACTCTGCCGCCTGCCCCCAACTTGGGAGGGTCGGATGAGAGGTTGCACCATCTCTACACGGGTGTCGTTCGCTCGGTGGCCCTGTACGGGGCTCCAATTTGGGCGGGCGAACTGGCTGCCAGCCTGCGCAGTCGGGCGATTCTCTGGGGAGTCGCCCGCAGGTTGGCGATCAGGGTCGTGCGCGGATACTGCACGATATCCCATGAGGCGGCGACGATTCTGCCAGGGATTCCACCGTTGGATCTGTTGGCAAAAGGGGAGGCTCGAGTGTACGAGCTCCTCCGCCGGGTTGGCAGCGCGGTTTCGGCTGACGGAGCCGTCTCGTTGAGGCGCCCGGTGCGGAGATCCGTGGTGGCTGCTTGGCACGCTCGGCTGAATAGGCCGAGCATCTGGCGGCACCGGGCCGTCGGAGTGGTGCTTCGGGTGTTGGACTCCTGGATGCGCAGCGGCAGTCGGCAAACGTTACGGCTGACGCAGGTGCTCACCGGGCACGGGTGCCTCGGTATGTACCTCGGTCGGATAGGTGTCACCACTGCGGGGAGGGGCGAGACACGGCGCAGCACACGCTGGAGGAATGTCCGGCGTATGCTCGCGAGCGCTGGGTCCTCCGACGTAGCGTGGGGAGGGACTTCTCGCTCTCCATCATCGTGCCAAAGATGGTGGAGAGCGGTACCGCGTCGAAGGCGATAGCCTCCTTCTGTGAGCAGGTGATGCTGCAAAAGGGGGCCGCTGAAAGGGCCCGCGAGCGCGCGTGCCGTAGCGCGGACTCTTCACGTGTAGGGCGGCGGAGGCTGCGAGCGCGGCGTTGCTTGCTCCCCTCCCCTGGAGGGGTCAAAGCGTTAAGCCTCGACTAAACGAGCGACCCTGCGCCTTTGGTACGGTGGCCGTGTGGCGCCGGTAGAGGTACGTACGTACGTATGTATGTATGTATGTATGTATATATATGTATGTATATATACGTATGTATGCAGGTCGGGTTGACCTAGGTCATATATAAGGTCGCATATGAGGTCGGATATGAGGTCGCGGTGCGAGTTCCCAATCGCGCCAGGAGGGAACCTTCGGGTATGTCTCGCGGGGGCGTCCTTGCAATAGCGTCGCCGCGAAGACCAGGGCTCTTCAATATCGCGTTAGGATGGCCATCGTGGGGGTTTTAGCGGGGCACATAACCCTGCCCGGTCCCTTAGGAGGGCCGGGTATCTTTGGAAGATTTCCCCCACGTAAAAAGATAGAAAAAAAGCACCTCACCGAGTAGAAACGCCACCACAGCAGAACGCAGCAACGCATAGCAGACCGCACCAGGGACAGCAGAGCGGTGATTAGCAGCAAATAGCACAGATTAGCACTGCTGTTTACTGTACCGCAACCAAATAGTACCGGCATCACAGCAGAGCACAGTAAAGCACAGCAGAGCGCCGAATAGCACCGAATAGTGTTACGACTCGCGTCCTGATTTTCGAAAAGGAAAAAAAACGAAAAGACTCAAATGACATACGGGCGTGGGGCGCCTGAGTCCGTATGTATTCAACTATCTCGTTCCTCTAGTTCTTATAGGGCTCTGCGTTTAGCGTGCGCTTTGCCTGCACCACGATTTGCAGTAAATCTCTTAATTCTACTTACTGATGGTGCTGCAAACCTTTGACTGCGATGAGTCTGCAGTTGAAGGTACGGAGTAGCTAGAGTAATGGCACAATCGTGGCTCTAAACGAGAGAGGATTGACTCCCAGCGGTAAAACGTTGAGGGGTTGAGTCTGGGTTGCTGCTCGATGAGGGTTCCTTGGGGTAGTACGTTGTCGGCGGAATGATGTTGCGAGTGTTCGTCTTTAGGCTCGATTACGCTGAAC